TCCTGGAGTAGAATAAATGGCTCACGATTGGCAAATTCTGGCGTTCGGAATAATTTATTACAAATCACAAAAACCACCTTCAATGACTCAGGAAATTATGTTTGCACAGCCAGAAACATTTTGGGACAAGTTCGAAAAGCCGTAAAGCTTTTTGTTGAAGGTGAGATAATTGCTATTTAATTATTATTTTTTTTTAACTTTAGTGTTTGCCGTAGGAATTATCTAGCCCTACTCTTGATTATAAGGGCTCATAACGGGCTTTAAAGTAAAAGAAAATAAGTGAGTTTCCTTTAGTTTTATCATAAGTACGCATCACTTTTGATAGAAATGAATTATTAATAAACAATCATGTCCACTGCTAAAAAATAATCAAACTAAGTAATCAAATGAACAAACAAACAAACAAAAATAAAATAGTACTAAGCATGTTTGCTTCAACAGTATGTCTTTATTCAATTAATCTACTTAACGTTGTAATTCAAAATTTCCCACAAGCATATGCTGACATTCTCGTTTCTAGGTCACCATTAGTTAACTGTGGCGTAAATCAAATAGTTTTTCATTGGATTGTTTATTTATTCAGTGCCTCCTCGTTTTACCAAGATCCCGAGTAGAGTTATAAAAGTCAAAGCAAACACAGTAGCCTCTGTTGTCTGCCAAGCTTTTGGTTTTCCTCCACCGACAATTCAGTGGTCAAGGGCATTTTCACCGTTACCACAGGGACGATCATGTGTCCAGAACGGAGTTCTTACAATCTCCAATTTTAACCTTCAAGATGATGGCACTTATCAGTGCAAAGCTGTTAACAAGTTGGGTTATGTTACTGTTTTGACCACCCTGAGCTATTTCAGAGGTAAATTACCTTAGATAAATGCGGCTTCCTTATTTCATTTTGAATAATCAGGGCTTGCTAACATGCTGGATTATTGTTCCGCTTTCCGTCTGTATTTTTATACTCTGGTCTACAGTGTAATACCGTAGTACATTTTTCGATATTCTGACACTAGTCCGGATAGTTTTGACGGTATCCGCTCTTAAGGTGACAAATTGCATGCCGTATACAAAGAATAATTTCATAAAAACAGCAACGGAAATGTTCATTTAATTCAGTTTCTGTTTCTAATCTTAGCAACTATCCCATTTTTCCAAATTACTTCCAAAAAAATGTTAATCGTAGTGAAAGCCACATTCTACAATACACTCTGATACTGAGGGTTGCTTAACATCCAAATTTTCTCCAGTAAGATTTTAGTTGTATTCCA